GGGGGGGGGGTAGCGCACATCCTAAAAAAAATGCAGTTTCCTCCTCCGTCCCTAGACTTATTCCTCTAGGCGGGAGGGTTTTTCCGGTGTCTGGGCGGGGGTGGGGCTGTCGCAGGGGCCGCTTTCAGGCTGAGCTGGATCCAGCACGTCTCCGACTCCGGCAGGCGCGGCCCCGCCCAGATGGGCTCAGGCTCTGCTCACTGGCTTTCCAGCTGCCACTCACAGAGCGGGGCGGACCTCAGGGAGAGGCAAGTCCTGGGCTCCAGCTACCTTATGCACTCGTTCACTCATTCAGGCAGCACGTAGTGGATCACGGTTTTTTTAAGAATTACCTGATGAGTTATATGTGAACAGCATCCACAGCATGTAACATCAGTTATATATGAAGCAACAGCCCGGCAAAATGTTCCATAAATGTTACCTGGCCTCCTTATTACTGAACTTTTCTCACTTTAACCTCGGGGTGACTACCACATTCTCAGTTAAGGTAGAGAAAGTAAAACGCTCTACTGGAGTCGAGGAAAGGTGGGTTCTTTATTGAGCACCTATTGTGTGCTGGGTGGGGAGATCGCTGGGAGGAGCCTGCCAGAGGAGGCGCGGTACAGGGGATGGCCTGAGTCGGGGCTGCAGGTGGGACCCAGGAGGTCTCTAGGGGAGGCTCCTGTGGGCACAGAAACCTTGGGTAGGAAGATGAGCCTGGAGAACAGCATGGCTGGGGGGCCCGCATGGGGCTAGAACCACTGCCCTCCCCGCTGACCTCAGTCTCACACAGTCCTTAAAACACCTGGGCAGGGTCAGGATTAAAATCTAATGAGGGCAGCAAGGATTAGCATTAAGGTTAGGATCGCGGTCAGAGCTCCTGCATCTGCTAGCTGGCATCCTCCACATTGCAAGGAGTCTGTACAGAGAGAACCCCAGGCCAGTGAGGCCTGCTTGAGGGACAGAGCCTGGACTGGGAACCAGACCTGGACAGCTCCTCCCCTACCTGCAGGAGGCAGACTGAGCCCCCAGGTGGGTTCCAGGGACTTGTCTATGTTCCCTAGAGACAGAACCAAGTCCTCGGTGCCTGGTGATCCACGAGGGAGTGGAGCTCAGGGCTCAGAAATGGTCAGTTCTCGTCAACCTGATGGGCTCCAGGTGTCTCCAAGTGTAGTGAAGATTAGGGAGAGATGCCTGGGAGGTGGGCAGAAAGGTGCCTGGCACACAGTGGGTGCCACCTGAGTGCACCACTCCCGGCCTTTATGTACTTCTCTGGGGGCTAAGTTCGAGCCCCGTGTCGGGTGTAGAGATTACCTGAAAGTATACTCTTGCGGCTCAGAAAGGCCACAGTGGAGTTCTTCCAGACTTGGGGCTTTGCCCCTGCTAAGGGTCCTGGAGTCGAGCCTGTACCCTTGGGGGGCTGTGACAGGCCAGTCTGTCCATCTGCGTAACGGGCACTGGAGGGTACCTAAGCCCTGAGACTGTACTGACCTGCTTGACCGAGAGCCTAACTCCTTAGGAAGCACCCTGGAGGGTTAATCGAACGGGAAACAGTGGGGCAGGTACTTGGGGTCACCTTCAGTTTGGAAGCTAACATCAGTGAATTCCGAATCCCGGGTTAAGTTGCTAACCCTAACCCCACCCCCACCCCCCGCCGTGTCCACCACCTCCTGGAAGCTCTGGCATCATTTCTGTGTGTCTGCTTATCATCCCCTCCTCCCCAGCCCTGAGCTGCAGGGGCAGAGGCCAGCACCCAGCAGGCACCCAATCAGTGCCGACTGAATGAAACGTGGCCTAGTGACTAAAGGACCCTCAGCCTGGGGTCGGCGTTCCCTGAGTCACGGCCAGAGAGCATGAGCTGCTTGTTCCTTACAGGTGCCGTCTTCACAGCCAGGGCTCCACCTGCGGTGCAGGCCGAGCAACGCGGCCCCTGGTGTCCACTCCCAGCCAGTCTCCCTAAAGCACAACTCTGCCCCTGCTACCTCCCAAACACACCTCCCGTCGCCCGGCCCAACACTGCCCTGCGGCCTCCGCGCTCCTCCAGACCCAGCTGCTGCTCCCGCCGCCCACACGCTCTCTGCTCCTGTCCCCCCTCCACCTTGGCCAGTGCCCACTGCAGGTGGCCAGTCACTCGTTCAGTCCCCGGCACAAGCCTTGATATTCAGGGGCTTCTGCTGGAGCCACTGGGGAAAGGACACATGCTTCCTGCATGGACCACAGGGGCAAGTCCAGTAGCTGCGGGTTCCAGCACCACGGCTGCCGTCAGGACTGAGGAAGACGGATGCCAACTGCCACAGCAGCCACAGTCGCAGGGCAGCCTGGCCAGGGCCTTCGTGTGTCTGCATCAACACGAGGAAAATGACTTGTTTAAAATAACCAGCAAGGGGCTCCTGGGTGGCTCAGTGTGTTAAACGTCTGCCTTCGGCTCAGATCATGATCCCAGGGTCCTGGGATGGAACCCCACATCGGGTTTCCTGCTCAGCGGGGAGCCTGCTTCTCCCTCTCCCTCTGCTGTTCCCCCCACTCTCTCTCTCTCTCTCTGTAAAATAAATAAATAAAATCTTAAAAAAATAAAATAACCAGCAAAACTGGAGAAATGGGGACCCACAATCCAGAGGAAAACGGTTAAGAGAAGTAATAGCCAGAAGTGACCCACAGGTGAAAACAATGAAGATTCAGGTTAAGTTTCTACAGGAAAAGGTAGAAAATGAAGAATTTCAGTAGAGAAACGGAAAAAGCCAAATACACATACTAGAACCAAAATGTACAAGGTGTGAGTTAACGTGGGGGACTGGCCGGCGTCTGAGAGGCTGGTGTCACCTTGTGCAGCCAGACACTGGCGGGGGGGGGGGGCCACAGAGATGTCAGGAGAAACAATGGCCAAGACGCCCCAAATTTAGAGAGGCACCGCCCGTAAGCCCTAACAGCTCCGCGGACAAGTTACACCTAAGTGCGTCCCCATCAACCTGCCGGCGCCAAACCCACAACAAGCAACGCCATTGGAGACAGACCTGCAGAAACACAGGGATTTCTCATCGGAAACAACAGATACCAGGAGTCAATGAAACATATCCAAAATGGTGAAAGACAGTCAACCAGGAACCCTGTATCTGGCAAAAATAAAATAAAACTAAGAAGTGCTTCAAAAGTGGAGGGACAGGGCCTTCTCCGGCCCACAGAGCAGGGAGCACGCCGGCCGCGGAGCCGCCATCCACGTGGCAGCACCCACAGGGACAGACCACCTCACTGGTGAACCCAGGGCCAAAGGGAGAAGTGAACCCCAGGCACAAACAGCCACCTTCAAAAGCCACGGACAAGGATGAGCTCTGGCGACACTCGTCTCAGAATGGCCGAAATCCAGAACGCGGACACCACCAAGCGCTGGCGGGGACGCAGAGCGGCCGGCGGGAATGCAAAACGCTGTCTCACAAAACTACACATACCCTCACCATTCAATTCAGCTCTGGGCTTTTGCAGGTTTGAAACCCTGCACACAGATGTTTACAGCGGCTTTATCCACAGCTGCCCAAACCTGAACACGGCCAAGGTGTCCTTCGGCAGAGAGTCGGTTATAAACTGCTGTCCGTCTGGGCGCTGGAATACCGCTCGGCGCTCAGGACAGGAGCCGCCAAGCCACAGAAAGACAAGGAGGAGCGCAAAATGCACGAAGCGGACACAGCAAGGCACCCCCTGATCAAACTGCTCCAAACCAGCCAGGAAGCCCTATTTCGGGTGTCCACACAATCACACAGGGGTGTGTGAAGTCTCCAGAAAAGCCAAATGTTTTAGGATCCGTTTCTCCGGGATGAGAGCGCCACGTCGGAATGCAGCATTTATGGACGCGTTTCTATGCCTCTTCGCTTGTGAGGGAACAAACCCCTTACTCACTCCTTTACCCAGAATGTGATTTACTGCCAACTATACAGGATGAGGAAACGAATAAAGTGACATTCAGAAGATACTTCTAACAATAGGAAAGGAGAAGCAAAGCTATGAGGGGATGCACTATTGAATAGGGAGGCAAAAAATAAAAATAGCATGAAAGATAAAAATCTTAACAGTAAGAACACACTAAGACAAGCAGATTTCTTGTCGTAAGCAGAGCCAACCAGAAGACAGGAGAGCAACTTCTCTCAAGTACTGGGGAAAACACTCCAATTAAAATCCCTCTAAAGTCCCTCTCGCATCACCCACCCCCGCACACACCCTGGCTCCCAGCACTGGACAACCAACTCTCCTGCCCCCTCCCCTCCGGGTCTCCTGCCCCCTCCTAGCCAGGCTGCACCCCGTCCCCACCGGGTCTCCTGCCCCCTCCCAGCCAGGCTGCACCCCCTCCCCACTGGCTCTCCTTCCCCCTCCCAGCCAGGCTGCACCCCCTCCCCATTGTGTCTCCTGCCCTCTCCCAGCCAGGCTGCACGCCCTCCCCACCGAGTCTCCCGCCCCCTCCCAGCCAGGCTGCAGCACCCCCTCCCCACCGTGTCTCCTGCCCCCTCCCAGCCAGGCTGCACCCCCCCCCACACTGGCTCTCCTGCCCCCGCCCAGCCAGGCTGCACAACCTCCTCTGTCTCCTGCCCCCTCCCAGCCAGGCTGTACCCCCCCACACTGGGTCTCCTGCCCCCTCCCAGCGAGGCTGCACCCCCTTCCCACTGGGTCTTCTGCCCCCTCCCAGGAAGGCACCAGGCTGCGCCCCTCCAGGCTCCAGTTTCTGCACCACCACCGCCACCCCACCCCTCCACGCCCCCCACCCCTCCCCACCCCGTGCAGCAACCACAGGTAGCTATGAATAGCGGTCTCAAGCCCCTGCTTACCCCTCCAGGGCCCCAGACCCAGAATAAAACCAGCCATCCCTGGCCCACCCAGGGCTCTTCCCACCCCTGCGTTTGCTGTGGTTTTTATGGCCAAGGTCTGCCTCACATCAAAGCAGCGCGTCACGTCAGTCATCGCAACCACCGCCCCCCAGCCCCATGCCATCCTGGCCACGGCTTAGCCCAGGTCACAGGGTCCACAAAGTGACCGGCCGTCCCCAGCACCTCCTCACACCCCGTCCTCCCAATCTACCACGAGGCACCCATGGACTTCAAATCAAGTTTAATAAATAAAACAGCAAGGGATTCAAGGCAGTTATCACTTCACAGTGTGGTCCTTGGTGGGGTGAGGGAAGGTCGAGGCCAACTCTGCAGACGGGCTCGAGCCAAAACCCTCTCCTGGTGACACCCCGGGGTTGGGGAGCGCTGCCCTGGCCCCGTGGAGGACCCCACTCCAATTTGTAAACAGAAACATAAATAAAACGAGGGAAGCTGGGAAAGAGAAGGACCAGGACCCCAAACCATCTTGCTGGGGAGCTTCAACAGAAGTATGACCCACAGGGTCAGGGGAACGGACTGGAGCCGGCCCCTCGGTGCTGCAGGCAACGGCGCCTTGGTACCAAGGGGGGTGCAGGTCACCTGTCTCCTCAACCCCACACCCGAGGCTGCTCTGGGCTGGAGACAGGGAGGAGGTGGGGGGCGGGGGGGCGGGGACGTAAAGTGCGGCGTTTCCTGAAGTGGAGAGCAGGGTGGAGGTCGAGGGCAGGCGGGGCCGACATCGAGGTATATGGCTCTGTGCCCCACGGGGTTTGGCACCGAGTAGCAGCTGCCCACGACCCCCGGGCTGGGGCAGCCTGTGGCCCTGCCGGGTGCAGGGAGATGGAGCCAAGCGGAGTGCTGAGGGTGCCCCGGGCAGAGGCTGCTGGTGGGGGCAGCATCCTGCCCCATCTCCCCACCTTCCTCGCCTCTGCTGGCTAGACGGGGCTGGGCCCTCCGCCTCTGGCCGCCCGATGGGTCCTGCGCTGGGGGCAGCAGCCTGGACAGCACGGACCATGGTGCCGGGCACTGAGGGCACTAGTCTGTGTGTGAGGGGGGCAGGGCAGTGGCCCGGCCACCGCTCACCCTGTCCTTGCCGTGTTCTGAAGCAGAGGAGGCGTTACCCGAGGCCCACGAGGAGGGGAGGGGTCGGGAAGACTGGCAGAGGCAGGCCCCGCGGTGGCCCCACGTCCAGTCCAGGCCACGCACGCCCACCCGTGGCCAGGGATCAACAGGTCATCACGTTACAGCTGCAGGGGGAGAGACCGAGAAAGGGTCAGTCCAGTCCCACAGACGGCACGGCCTGGGTGCCGTGGGTTGAAACCGTGGCTCCCGACCTCGCCTCCCCCAGCAGACCGTGTTTTCACTTGTGCTGGTGGACAGGCTCCCCAAGGCAGCACTGTCCCTGGTGCCTGGGGAGGGCTGGTGGCTGGGGCAGGGGTGGGAGGAGCCTGGCACCGGCCCCGTTTGTACCTTTTTGGATTTTGAACCATATGAATGTTTTACCTAGTCAAAAAAATAAATAAGCCAAATTAAAAGTAGAGAATAAAAGTAAAGAAACCAACAGAGCCTGCTCCATGTGGCCAAGCCATCCTCGGGCCCTCGGGGCACAGCCCTCCCCTCTCCACAGCGCAGCCTGAGGCTGGCGGGGGGGGGGGGACCCGGGGCAGGGGGACCCAGGGCAGGGGCCGCACTCACTGTGACAGGGGCTCCGAGTGCAGCCCGGGGGCTGGGCACGCTGGGTGGGCAGCCAGGAAGGGATTCACATCCCCAATGCCGATGAGTCCAAACTCAGTGACCGACAAGGCCACCTGTGCCGGAGCCACGGCCTCCTCAGGCTCTCCGTTCACATCCACGTGGCTGGAGATGAGAGGCAGCTCCTCGGGGAGGGCCCCAGGCAGGGTCAAGTCCACAGCTAGTCTCGGGCTGCTGCCGGGCTCTGGAGGGGCTGTGGCCGGGGGGTAGAAGGCTGGCTCGGCCAGGGCAGGGGGCCGCCTGGGCAGGGACACGGCTGGGGGCGTGTCCAGCTGCTGGAACGGACAAGGCCCCGGCTCCGAGGACGGGAGGCTGTCGGAGCTCTCCCCAGGCTCACCGAGACTGCCGGCCACGCTGTCTACGCTCAGCGGCTCTGCGGGGGGGAACACAGCTGAGACCGGGCCCCCGAGGCACCCACAGCCAACCCAACGAGAGCGCACTCATTAAAATCACACTCATGCTTTCAGGCTGCAACCTACGCTGGGCTCCTGCCCAACCTCTGTGGGTCCAGCAAAAGCCCGTGGACCCCTCCCCACAGAGGTATTTTCACAGAGACATAAAATACAGACACAAAAGAAACCAGTTATAGGGAAACTGTGCACCTGGGCTGACGACCCTGAACTGGGAGGTCGTGACTCCTGTTTTTTGAAACCAAGACCAGAACACAACAGGTTCAGAGAAATTCGAATAAAACAAAATAAAAGCAGCTTGAAGGCAAAGTGCAGGTAACTGTGGAATCTACGTGATTAGCAATTCCAGAAGTAGGTCGACGCCGTCCCCCTTTTAGGCAAACCATGGAACCAACCAGATTCTGGAACAATGTAAACCCCGGAGTACAACAGACTCGGAGCCAAGGTCCTCATCCTCCTCTCTCTGGTCACGGTCAGAAACTCCAGGCCCGAGCTGGGCCTTGTCTGCTGCGTGGCCCTGAGCCCGGACGCCAGGGAGCCTTGGACACCCACGAGACTGCCCACGTGCCATCCAGGGCCACAGGACACATGTCTACCCTTCCACGCAACAAGCCAGCAAGTCCCCGCGGCCACTCATGCATGTGACACCCCCACGGACCACTCTCTGGGTAGAGCCCTGGGGGCCCCGGTTAAGGCACCAGTGAGAACAGGGCTCTCCCAAGGGCAGGGACCACCCCCCATTCTCACCTGTGTGCATCCGTGCCAAGGGGTCCTGCTCAGAGCCCAGGCTGTCAGCAGCAGGAGGCAGAGGGGGCGACGAGCGGGGGCGACCAGTGCCGTCGGGGTCACTGCCGTCCAGGTCCTGGTCCGCGTCCCTGTGGGGATGTGTGCTGTGAAGGGGAGACACCTGCCCGGGACGCCCACCCTCCCCACCCCAGAGCCCTGGGAGCCCACTGCACGCACGTGGCTCCCGACGGGCCGTATTTCCTCCGGCCCAGCCTCGTCTGCTGGGAGAAGTAGTCGTAGCGCTCAGACTTCTTCCACAGGTAGTAGTACTCCACACACTCGCCCACGGACCGGGTGCGCACCTGCGGGACAGCAGATGTGTCACCTCAGCCCCCAGACGAGCAGAGACGGGGCCTGGCACCACCACTCTTGGACAAAGCAAGACTCCTCCTGCAGCCCCCATCACCCGCTTCCAGCCCGCCCCTGAGGCACATCCCCTCACCTAAAGCAGGACGGCACCCCATCTCAAAGAGCCCACCACCTACTGGTGTGGACCTGGCACCCTGTTCCTCACTTCAGGACCACGTGTCCAGTGTCTACCTTCCTCGCCCCAGACCACAAGCTCCTGAAGAGAGCGGCATCCACCATGCCCCTCGCAGGCCCAGAAAGAGGGGGAGAGATGACCCTGGTGTAGACCCAGAGACAGAGCCCCCGGCCCAGAGAGAACAACGTGTGAGCCCACGTTTCCCACTGAGTGCAGAATGTTACCGACACTCCGCGCGAGAGCTGCCCACAAGGGCAATCAAGACACCGTTAAAGTACACGCTACGGGTTTGTGAAACCAACTCAAGATCGTATTTACAACATGACACGGAAAACCAAAAAAATCCTTATATGTGAAGTATCCTGGGAACAAAAGGTGCCACAAACATGTGTCCAGCACGCAGCTGGACTCCACTTGCAAAACCTCTTAGGGTGTAAGATAAATCACGGAGACCAAACGACCACCACAGGGAACATGGTCAGTGACTCTGTAACAACACTGTACTAGAACAGAAGGTGACCAGCTTATCGTGCCGCACACTGACGGATGCATGGCACTGTCCATCACGATTCCATACGCCTGGTGCACTCCTAACACTAACGTGACCTTGTGCATCAACTACACTTCAATTATAAAAAAACTCAGAAACCTCTTCTAACGAGTTGGGGAATCTTCCCACTTCGGAGGGTCACCCCACAGCAGGCCGAGGAGGACCAGGTTAGCAGCGGGGACAGGGACACACACACTGTCTGTTTTGCTCGATGAGGCCCATCGGCGCATCCATCCTGCCAGGGGTTATGTCCTCCGTGGTCTCCCCCCAGCTCCACCAGAAGCCTGAAATGCATGGAGAGGGAGGCCACAGCCATCACCAGGGTGGGTGGGCACAAAGAAAACAAGGGCACTGTGCCAACGCCACTGCGCTCACAGAAGTGGCCTCGGCTGTGGTGGAAACACAGTGCGCAGGAAACTGCAGGCCACAAGGCACAGATCCAACACCGTGCTGGGCATGGTCAGCTGAGCACCATCTGTCCCTACACCAGCCCCAAGCAGGCACCTCATTCACCCCAAGCTCCTGGGAGAAGACACTGAGGCCTGCACGTGAGCCCAATTTCCGCCAGGCCCTTCCCTACTACCTACGTTCCCATGAGCCGTGAGGAGCCAGGGCTACTGGCCCTAGAAGGACAGGACGACAGACTGGGATGAGGAGTGAGGTGGGGAAATGGACAGAGAAAAACTCAGGCTCTGACACAGAACCACAGGAACATGCCCACGCAGACGTCCCACGCTGCATGGCAGAGGGGCCAGGGCTCTGCCAAGAGGCCCCTCTAGGAGTCATGCACGAAGCCACGGGCAAACAGCATCACCGTGGGATGCGCAGACACCAGCAACGACCCAGGTGTAGGGGAAGGCAGGGTAACCTGGCACTCAGCAATGCCTCCCGTCATGAGGTTTGCTGCAGGTGGCAGAAGGACTCACATCCTTTGAGGAAATTAGGAGGTCTGGGGCTGCAAGTAGGATCAAGGTTGGGGGTCAGCACTGCGGCATGGGCCCTGGGCACTGTGGCAAGGAGATGGCAAAGCAGTGCCGATGGACCACGAATAGACAAGACTACTGAAGTTCACCCCTAAGTGGTGTCTTTCCCCAAACTGGAGCCTTCGTTTGGGGACTGGAAAGTGGCCCAACAAACATCAGCAGAGACTAGAACAAGACATCAAGGGGCGTACGGTGAGCCAGAGGTGGGCACGAGGGCCTCAGCCATGGCTCAGAGGAGGCCAGTGAGGGGAATCCCAACCTCACTGTGGGGTGAAGGTGATGTGTGCCTGGTCTCCTGAGCCCCTCCCAGCCCTAAAGAGCCACTGCTAGAGCCTGGCAGGAGCAGGGCGGACAGTGTCCTCACCTTGTTGGCCTGGATCAGGTGGAAATTCTTCCCATGCACTCGGAAGCCATGCTCAAAGTTCCTGCACTCCTCTTCACTCCAAGCACAAAACCCATCTGCAAGCAGGAGGGAGAGCACAGTGCCATCGACAGTGTCCAGGACACGACAGGAGCAGAAGGCAGGGAAGGTCGGGGCTACATGCTCACCTCGGATCACCTTCACGTTGAACCGCAGTCTCCGCAGGGCCTCCTCTGCATTGAAATTGCATTTCACCAGCTCGTAAAGCGCCTGGGGAGAAGCCACACTGACTTCCCACCTGTTCAACCTCACCCCACGCGCCCCTCAGGGACAGGGACACCGGGGGGTAGTCACACCACCCTCTGGGGGTGTTCACACCACAGGGGTGGGAATGGGGGCATTCACATCAATCTCAGGGGCAGGGACGGTGGAAGCATTCACACCACCCCCAGGGATGGGGACATTGGGGAGACATTCACACCACCATCAGGGACAGGGATGTCAATAGCATTCACACCACCCTCAGGGGCGGGGACATTGGGCGGGCATTCAAACCACCCTTGGGGGTGGGGATGTTGGGGAGAGAGTCCACATCACTCTCAGGGGTGGGGATGTTGGGGAGGCGTTCACACCACCCTCAGGGGCGGGGATGTTGGGGGGCATGCACACCACACCCAGGGGTGGGGACATTGGGGGGGCATTCACACCACCCCCAGGGGTGGGGCATTGAGGGGAGCGTTCACATCACTCTCAAGGTGGGGATGTTGGGGGAGCATTCACACCACCTTCACAGGCAGGGATGTTCAGGGGCATTCACATCACCCTCAGGGGCGGGGATGTTGGTGGGCGTTCACACCACCCTCAGGGATGGGGATGTTGGAGGCATTCACACCACCCTCAGGGGTGGGGACACTGGGGGGAGCGTTCACACCACCCTCGGGGGTGGGGACGTTGGGGGGTATTCGTACCACTCTCAGGGGTGGGGACGTCGGGGGGAGCATTCACATCACCCTCAGGGCCAGGGATGTTGGGGGGAACGTTCACACCACCCTCAGGGGCGGGGACGTTGCGGGGAGCATTCACATCACCCTCAGGGGCAGAGATGTTGCAGGGCGTTCACACCACTCTCAGGGGTGGGGACATTGGGGGGGCGTTCACACCACCCTCAGGGGCGGGGACATTGGGGGGAGCATTCACATCACCCTCAGGGGTGGGGACGTTGCGGGGGGGCGTTCACACCACTCTCAGGGGCAGGGACACTGGTGGTGCTCATACGGTCACAATGAGTGTTTTTCATTTCAACTTGTCGCCATCACATGACCACACTGGGCAGGAGCTTCATGGCACACCTCCCCCACCACCCTCCTGGGGTGGCCTTTCCATTCCCCATGCCCCTCCATGCCTGACCACCCCTCCCCTCCTGCCCCTGCGTGGTCCCCAGAGACACCTGAGCCGCTGACTTCCGACTCAGCGTGCTCCAGCGCCACGGCCCTCTGCACCCTGTGTGGCAGCCCCACCTGCTCACTGTCTTTCACCGATTCTCCCTCCGGGAGCTGCGACCCAGCCATCTCGTGCCACCTCCGTTTCACTGCCCGGTACAGGAACTCCTCCACCTCCCTCTCGGGGAGGATGTTGGGGTCCCAGAGCAGCTGGTCGTCATTCTCATAGACTGTGGAGAAGGAGTACTGGGGTCACATCACGGGCACACCGTCCGTGCCCACGCCTAGGGAGCTCCCCCTCTTCTGACAGCCCCGTCAGAAGCGCCTGCCGGGGCACCTCCAGAGGACCCACCTAGTTCTCTCTCACGTAGCAAAGAACGACTATACCCAGATCACCAAAGACAGTATTTCATGACCAGGTAGAGTTTACTCCAGAACGCAAGGTTGGTTTAATGTCTGAAAGCCCATCGATGTGAGGACGAAAGAGAAAAAAACGACTGTCTCAGGACACACAAAAAGTAGGTGCCAGAATTCAAACTGTCAGCTGCTAACAAAAGGAAACTTCCTCGTCCAACAAAGACCATCTACAGCGGCCTACAGCCAATGACATACTAAATGGGACACAGAACACTTCCCCCAAGTTTGGGAACAAGACGAGACATCACTTCTCATCTCTTCTTTACCCTCCTGTCCTGAAGGTGTCGCCAGTACAACACGGCGACAAAAAGAAAGAAAAGACCCAAAGTCTGCAAAAAAAATGAAGTGAAGCTCTTTAAAAAAAAAAAAAAAAAATGAAGTGAAGCTATCATTCACAAGTCACACGATCACATACGTAAAAAAAATACAAAAGAACCTACAAAATACTAAAATTGGTAAATAAGCTTAGCAAAGTCAGTGTACAAGATCAATTAAAATAACAAACTACACTTCTACTAACAGAAATCAAGTAGACATGAAATTTTTTAAAATACCTTTTACAATAGCACAAACAGGGGCCATCGGGTATGCACAAGACTGCTACAAATACACCTCTGGATTTCAAGAGGGGAAACCACACGGGTGATCTGCAAGGGTCGATGGTGTTGCCATACACGCTCTCCACAAATTAATCTCAGGATTCAGCACAACTCTCATCAAAATCGAGCAGCTGACGAGCTAATTAGCAACTTCTATGGAGGTACAATCAGGCTCCTGACGTTGGAGGACGGGCATTGTCTCGGACGTGGTTCAAGGGAGACCAGCGAGCAGAAGCCCAACACACGCATGCGGGACAGACACTCCGCTTCTGACAAGGACCTCTTTGGTGCAGCAGGCGGGAACGGCGTGTCCCATCGCGGGGCCAGAACAAGGCGCAGGTTAAAGCAGTCCTGACCCACACCTCCAACCACACACTCGACGTTAAATTAAACCGGATCATTGCTTTCTACGAGACAGGGAAAATAAAGGAGAACAGCTTCTGCGAAAACTTCTTTAACGGCACATGAACACAGTACGGTCAGAGTAAACACCGACAACTCGGACGTCATCACAACTGAAGACACTGCCAACTGGGAGAAAACATGGTGGTGCCCACAGCCGAAGACAGCCTTGCATCCAGAACGCCAGAAGGACGCCCACAAATCAGACAGAGAAAGGCGATTCCATCTAAAAATGCGGAAAAAGCCTTGAGCAGGTGCCTCCCAAGAGATCTGCAAATGGCCAGTAAACATGATCCCTCTCCAAAGAATCGCCAATTAAAGCCACAACAAGACACCCCTCCTCACCCACAGACCCTGTCAAGTGTGCGTGAGGACGTACCCCAACGGGGACTCCCACAGGTCGCTGGAGGGAACCCGAGCAGCACAGGCAACTCCCAGCCATCTGTCCAGGAAGGAGCGCATATGTCCACAGAGAGACACACGCAGAGACATCCAGAGCCACACACGGAAACAACCGCACTATCGACCAACAGTACAACGGATGAGCAATGTGGTCCATCCACACCAGGAAACAGCACACAACAGCATACAAGGTCCACGTGCCACACTATGGATTTAACTTCCCAGATGTGGCATGGAGGGAGATGCCAGCTCCCATCCCCTGGGGACCAAGGACCAGCCATTCCCTGGAAGAGGAAAAGGCCTGAATGCCACACTCAGTGAAGGCTGGCGTTCCGGACTGAGGTCTGCACACGTTCAGGACAGCCTGAGGGTGTAGCTAAGAAGCGTGCACTGGTGCCTTTTTCTGGAGGAGGGTCTCCTGTGTCATCAGATTCACAGATTCGCCTCCACGGTCCCGGGACCCAGCTGAGCTGCATGTTCCTGTCTCCTCCTTAACCCAAACTGCTTACGGCGGAGCAAGCACATGCCACCAAGCCCACATCCCAGCTCCTGGCCCAAGGCCTCGATATCTCTGCTGTGAGTCCCTGTCTCCTCTGTCTGTCCCACCTCACTGCCAGTCTCAGCAACTGAATCATCCTGGGAGAGACTCCTGAGCCAGGGGTGCCAGCCCTGGACCCATAGGGCCATTGGGGCCAGGAAAACAAGACCTGGGTCAATAGCCAGGTGACTTCACTTCCTATTTTCTTCACCTGTAAGCGAACAGGGCAATGCCTATCTCAAAGGACAACAGGCCTCCCTCCATGTTCCAGTGGGGACATCAAGTCCGGGACAGGCAGTGCCCTAGGAAGAGCGCAGGACAGAGCGACACGCAGGGCAGAGCGACACTGGTCTCTGGCGGTCATCTGGGACAAGGCCCAGACACGGGAAGAGCCGGGTGGGGAAACGTGTGCACACCTGGACAGGCGAGGACAGGGGCCTGCGCAGGACGGGGTGGACAGAGCCGAGGGCAGGGAAGCGGGGTGCTGGCTGCACAGGGCGGCAGGACCACGCAGCGCCGAGCTGAGGGGCAGTGAGCAGGGAGGGGGACACCAACTGGTCCATGCCCTCCTGCCCCTCACATTCCCTCCAAGGGTTGGGGAACTGGCTCTGGGTAGGCACCAGCAAGTTCCTTCCTGGCTACACTGGAGTTCTCGCTTCTTCTCCCCACCTCCCACACTCAGCAGGCCCCACTTACGTTTCTCACCGTGGCGGTCCAACTGCAGGCTGCTGAGGTCGGCTTGGAACTGAGGCCCAACCATGATCTCCTGCAAAGGCAAAGGCCCAAGGCAGTCAGGGCTGACGGGAGGCCCAGCCACAAGGTGCTGACGTGGGCCCCAGGGTGGCCGCCTAGAGCCCCGGGCTCATCTGTGCCATCTGCCCACAGATGCCAAGTCCTGTGGTCTTGAGCACGAGAGGCAGAGAAGGGTGTGGGTGTGAGTGACAGCGTCTGCACCCACTTGTCCGTCTGTCTGGTACAGCCAGTCCTGTGGCAAGGGGGGGGTGAGGTCCGAGGACCCAGGAGCTCTGAGGTCCAGCCCAAAGGCCCCAGGACAGGACCTCGGGCCACCTCACGGGACAAGAGCACAGTCAAGCCCCTAGCCCAGCTCACTGCTCAGGAGCCACGTGCTCAGCCCTGCCCCGAAGGGCCAGAGACCCACTTTCAGGGCGCCACTGGGTCAGGGCCACTCACCTTCTTACATTTGTTGGCAGGAAGAGGGTCCTCCTCTGTGTCGGAAGAGGTGGAAGAGCTAGGCTCTTTGTCTGCATCAGCCAGGAAGCAGGCTTTGGGGAAAGGGGAGCAGCTGAGTCGTGCCCATGGCACCGGGGGGCCCACCCTGGCTAGCAGGCTCTGGGCACCACTGCACCTCCCCCCGACTCTCCGTCCACCTGACCCCTACACTGTGCCTTTCCTGAGAAGGAGTGTGGCCCACACCCTGGCCAGATGACGGGTGTGCAACAGGCCCAGGATTGGGGGCTCAGGAGGCCTCCCCCTGCAACGGTCGCTACCCTGCCAGCCTCCCAGGATGCACAGGCAGGCAGAGCCGAGGGGAGGACGGTCTCAGGGCGCTGCCCCAGACCTGACAGACTTCCAGTTACAGGAACACATTCCCTCCTCAGGGGAACCAAAGCCACTCAGTCTCCGCTCACAGGTCATCAGGAAGGTGGGAAGCCCAAAGGAGCTCAGACTGAGGTCAGGGCGCCCACGGGGTATGAGGCATCCATGCACAAGTGCCTGGCCCCCAGCAGCCCGGGGCCCCTCCATCTGCATTCCCACAGCCACGCTTGGCCAGCCCAAGGGGAGGAGCAGGAGGGACACCTACGTCCACTCTGGTTAGGAAAAAGGTCAGAGGCCTCATGGGAGGTCACAGACGGGGTCAGGTCATCGGCTGATGACTGTGTCTCTTCCTCTTCTTCCCCTGAAAGCAAATCCTTCGCTATTTGCTCCTTTTAACAAGAAAGCAAAGAATGTGTTTGTGGTTTATTTCGACAATCTCAAGATAACATGTAATAACAGCAAGTAACAGTGCTAATGCAGTGACCGATGCCACAAGCCCACTCTGGATGTCCCTCCCCCTCCGCAGACAGAGAGGCCAGGCCCAAGGGCAGGCCAGCAAGGGGCACTCCCTGAGCCCAGCCCTGCAGCCTGGGAACGAGAGAGTCCCGGCGCTCTCCACTAAGCAGTAGTTTTCACCTTCAGTGATGAAGCCCGCCCTGCTGACACCCGCCCTGTCAGGACCCGGAGGGCCCGGCCCAGGAGAACCGAGCTGCATCTCTCTCTCCGGTCTCCACTCCACCCCTCCTCCAGCCCAGCCCGCGGCCCCGTGGACCGTCAGCTCAGACTGTGTGGGGGACCGTCACACCTGCCCTCAGTCCACTCACCTTGTCCAGAGTCATGTCTGGGAGGTTGGCTGTGGTGTCACTGCCCTCACTCTCCCGCTCCGAGATGGGGTCTGATGCCTCATAGCCATAGAGGGCAAGCAGCTCGTCGAGGGGCATGTCGCTGCTCTGCAGGGGCAGGGCTGTGTCAGGAGGGCTGCTCGGGGCTCTGAGCCACTTCATCGCACTCACAGCAGCTAACCCCAGCCAGACCCCAGTCCTGCATCCAAGGACTCCCTTAACCCCGTGGAGAGGCAGGGACAAGACACCTGGGCCCAGAGAGATCCGCTGTGTGCCCAAGGCCCCAGCCTTGAAGAGTGGGGCCAGGAATGGCCTCTCCCTCCACAGGGTCCTGCCCAGGCTTAACCCCGGCAATGGAGGATGACTCAACATCTGTAAATCTACCACACCTGGTGACGTCGCTAAATCAGAGTAAATCAGAAGGGAAAAACATGGCCATCCAAGAAACATCTGGTAAAATCCAACATCTGCATCAGGCAGGGAGCGGTCCACCACATGGATGCCACAGAGACGCTGTCCGCCCTCGCCAGCAGCGCAACCCCACCCCAGGTGACTGAGAGGGGAGGCTCAAGCCCCCCACAGGGAACGGACAGAGTCCGAGGCAACAGGACGAGCAGCGGCCTGGGGAGGAAGACGCGCACGACCATCACCGTCCTCTCCACAGGGTCACCGCTTCTCACGCCTGCCTCTCTGCTCCTGACGCCGACGTTGTCTGGCCGCACCGTGTCCTCACACCAGTCAGCCCCCCAGACACCCTCGCTCATCCCGCCCCCCCAGGTCAGCTCCTGCCCGCCCTCGCCCCTCCCCGCGGAGCCCAAGCTCCCCCTCCCACCCTCCAGGACCCCACTAACGGGGATGTTCAGGACGCCTCTCACACTTTCTAACTGTGCACCTGCTGGGCGATCAACGCAGGGGCCCTACGACCCCCGGGTGCCTGGGACCCTTTCGCAGCGACTTTCGTGAGAATACGACGGCATTTCTTCCACCCTCTGTGCCTGCACGCGTGCTGAGGGAGTCGCGGGTGGGGCACAGCACCCTACAGTTGTGAGCCATCAGCGGGCATCCCTCCCTGCCACCCACTCAGTTGTAAACGTGCCGCTTCCCTCGAGGATGCCCTGTGCACGTTCCTGATGGTATTCTCGCTCTTGCGAAGCAGATGTCGTTTTAATTTTCCGTGTGAGGAAAGGGGAAGCACAGGGAGTGCCTGCCACACCCCAAAGTGCGGGTCTGTGCCGGAGCGCCTGAGTGTTGCGGCAGCTGTCCCCACCATGCAGCTCCGCTCTCGAGGAACAGACTGGCCGGCCTGCAGGTGACAACAGGCCTCCTGTCGGGCCCCGCGCAGACGTATCAGACAAGAGCCCAGTCAGCCATCCCTCCAGACCAACAACTGACTGTGCCCGCTGCAACAGCAAACCTCAGGCTTTTGAGCAAGAAACTTTAATTTTCGAAAATCTGGATCTGACAACATGAGCTTGATAAATTTGCAATATCATTTGTTAGGGTGATACAAAAACGGCAGTGTTTCTGTTTTTATCTTGGAAATTACATTCTTTCTTAATCAGTTTTTTTTTTTCATTTAAATTCAAACTAGTTAACACATAGTGTAGTATTGGTTTTGGGGGTAGAGTTCAGAGATTCATCAGTTGCACAGAACACCCAGGGCTCTCTCCATCATGTGCCACCCTTGAGGCCCCTCCCCCAGTCACCCCCTCCTCCCAGCAACCCTGCTTCTTTCCTAAAGTTCGGCGTCTCTTATGGTTTTCCTCCCTGTTCTCATCTTTATTTTTCCTTCCCTTCCTTTATGTTCATCTGTTTTGTTTCTTAAATTCCACCTGTGAGAGAGATCACATGGCATTTGTCTTTCTCTGATCTTAGTTTTTAAATATATCCGAAGAAAACCTAGGTGAGATATTTAATTAATACATGGCTGATTTTAGTTTTTGGTTAATTTTGAGATGTTTTAAATTCATTTTAAACTTTTTTAAATTGTTTTTTCTTTTTTGAAGAGAAGACTTTTGTCTTTGGTTATAAGACCAAACTGGCACCAAGCAATACATGGCACCAAACTAGGTAAATGCCCCGTGATTACTGCTTAAAAAATTTTAAAAATTCCCAATACTTTAAAAATGTTTGATGAAATCAGTGTTGATATTTTCACGAACTGAAAATTCACATGCCAAAGCGCTAACCCCCAACGTGACTGTATCTGGAGATGGACCTTTGCAGGAAGAGTTACAGTTACATAGGATGTTGAGGATGGGACTCTGATCCAGTGGGATTAGGTCCTTAAAGAGACCCCAAACAGCTTGCTTGCTCTCAGGCACGTGAGGACACAGAGAGAAGGCAGCCATGTGTAAGCCAAGAGGGCCCTCACCAGAAACAACCCTGCCTGACCCTGAATGCAGACTTCTGGCCTCCACAACTACATTGGTTAAGCCCCCCGTCTACGGTATTAACAAGCGAGGTTCTCAGATTTTGTAGTGTGAACTTACATTTGCAAGATGGGCAGGCTGGAGAACCAGTATGCTGCAAACATCTCACCATGCAGAAGGTAATAGGATCACACAGTGGGGAGAGCCACTGCAAGTTCACCACCAACGGATTCCAACAGAATCACGTCCAGAACGTTCACAGGATATGAGTGTAGAAGCCACTCTGCACCCGTCACAAAACTACCACTTACTGGATTTGGGTGCTGCATCAAGGGATATCCACAATTATCTGAGAAGCTGGTTAAGTACTCTCCCCTCTTCCAAGAACAGATCTGTGTGAGACCAGATTTATACTTCAACCAAAAGAACAGATTAACGAGACAGCAGCTGGGTTCTCATGTTCGCTTCTGCATTTACGAAAATATAAAGCTATTCCACTCTTCTCCCCAACCTGTTTTTGGGTTTTCTTTTTTTTAAAGATTTATTTATTCCATTTTTATTACTTTTTAAATTTAAATTCGATTTAACTAACATACAGTATGAGTTTCAGAGAGAGAATTTAGTGATTCATCATTTGCATACACGACACCCAGTGCTCATTCCATCATGTGCCTCCTTAATGCCCATCACCCAGTTACCCGCTCCCCCCATCCCTCCAGCAACCCTCATTTTGTTTCCTATGATTAAGAATCTCTTATGGTTTGCCTCCGTCTCTGATTTCATCTTGTTTTATTTTTTCCTCTCTTCCCCTATGCTCCTCTGTTTCATTTCTTATATGAGTGAGATCATATAATTATCTTTCTCTGACTTACTTCACTCAACATAATCCCCTCCAGTCCCATCCATGTCAATGCAAATGGTGAGTAGTTATCCTTTCTGATGGCTGAGCAATCTTCCATTGTATATATGGACCACATCTTCTTTATCCATTCATCTGTTGAAGGGCATCTCGGCTCCTTCCACAGTTTGGCTATTGGGGACATTGCTATTATGAACATTGGGGTGTAGGTGCCCCTTCTTTTCACTACGTCTGTATCTTTAGGATAAATACTTAGTAGTGCAACTGCTGGGTCATAGGGTAGCTCTATTTTTAACGTCTTGAGGAAACTCCATACTGTTTTCCCGAGTGGCTACACGAGCTTGCATTCCCACCAACAGTGTAGGAGAGCTCCCCTTTCTCCACATCCTCATCAACATTTGTGTTTCTTGTTAGTTTTAGCCATTCTAACAGGTGTAAGGTGGTATCTCATTGTGGTTTTGATTTGTATTTCCCGGGTGGCAAGTGATGTGGAGCATTTTTTCATGTGTCTATTGGCCATTTGGATGTCTTCTTTGGAGAAGTGTCTGTTCATGTCTTCTGCCCATTTCTTGACTGGATTATTTGTTCTTAAGGTGTTGAGTTTGATGAGTTTCTTTACAGATTTTAGATACTAGCTCTTCATCTAATAAGACATTTGCAAATATCCTTTCCCATTCTGTAGGCTGTCTTTTGGTTTTGTCAACTGTTTCCTTTGCTGTACAAAAGCTTTTTATCTTGATGAAGTCCCAAAAGTTCATTTATTCCAGAGAGAGATAAAGAGTGAGAACATAAGGGAGAGGGGGAGAGGGAGACACAGAATCCCAAGCAGACTCCCCTCTGCTGAGTGCAGAGCCTGACACGGGGCTCGATCCCAATACCATGAGATCAGGACCTGAGCCAAAACCAAGAGTCGGACACTCAACCAACTATACCACCCAGGCACCCCCAACCTGTTTTTGTCTTAGAAGCTATTTTTTTAAAGATTTATTTGAAAGAGAGAAAAAGAGAGAGCAGGGGAAGGGGCAGAGGGAGAGGGTGAAGCAGACTCCCCACTGAGGAGGGAGCCAGACATGGGGCTCGATCCCAGGACCCTGAGATCATGACCTGAGCTGAAGGTAGACGCTTCACTGACTGAGCCACCCAGGTGCCCCTATTATTTTTTTTCATTTTCACAAATTTTATAAATTGTTTCTATTAACAATGCATTTATCATATAACCTACACAAAGCTCTCTGAAATCCTCAATAATTTTTGGGGTGCCTGAGTGGCTCAGTCATTAAGCGTCTGCCTTTGGCTCAGGTTCGAGCCCTGTGTCGGGCTCCCTGCTCGCGGGGAGGCCTGCTTCTCCCTCTCCCATTCTCCCTACTTGTGTTCCCTCTCTCGCTGTCTCTCTCTCTGTCAAAAAATAAATAAAATCTTTAAAGAAAAAAAAAGAAATCCTCAATAATTTTTAAGAGCATAAAGGGGGTTCTGAGGCCAAAAAAGAGAGAACAGTGGGTTTAATGCCTACAGCCCTAAAGCCCCAGGGGCACGACCAGGTCTGGCCTGACCCCCCGCGACCTCAGCTCCTAGCACAGCACCTGGCACTTCACAAACACACACAGGCATACTTGTCCCTGTGAAACCTGAGCAGCCTGCAGACTGCTTCCGTCAAACGCAGAAACGTGACATTGCCCAGGGGGCCCCACTCACACAAGGGCAGAGGGGACCAGCTCAGCCAAGTACCTGGGCGATGAAGTCCTTCTCCAGCTCCCCCTCGGGCTTCTCCGGGTCTCCCGCGGCCTGCTCACACTGCTCCCGGATGCCGTAGTTCTGGGACAGGATCTCTACGAGGTTGAACTGATGGTCTGCAGAGCCCATGGACACCACTGTGGAGGAGACACCAGCCTGCATGAGCTGCTCACCCCACACACCCCAACCATCATGCAAGGTGCAGGGCGGCTGGGGTAGGACCCGACAGTGGCCCTGCTGTCACCAGGGACAAGCCCCACAGCCTGTGGCCACGTGTACACGTGTGCTCGTGCATACACACGGGGAAGGCTATGTGTGTGCATGTGTGCACACTGGGAGGCAGCACAGTCCGTCACCACGGAGGATCTCCCGACAGAATGACTGTGGAGAGAAGAGCACGCCGGCTAACTGTACTGTACACACACACTCTGGGAATGTGGGGGATGTGTTGTCCTGGAGGCTCACTCAGTCTCCCTCAGCACAGACCCCTGTGGTGGCGTGGGGAGGACTCCACAGACGAGGAAGAAATGAGCACCAGGGGAGCTAGGGCACGCAGAAAGAACAGAAGGACCCGAGAGGGCCGGTGCCCCATCTGGCAGGCCCTCAGCTCCTGGAACAGAGGTGATGCTGCATGCACACACCCACACGTCACCGCAGGGACAGCACGGTGTGCGGAGACACACAGGAGGCCCAACGAACGCTAGTCCTTCCTCCAGCCTCAGCGGAACAAGAGCACAACCACCTGCACGGGCCAATGGGTGGCAGATGTGACCAGATTTTTGGTTTTCCCAAAAATCCCAGGATGCGTTTATCACTCTCTCTCCATTCTGGTCTTCTTCAGTAAGTCAAATTTAAAGAAAACAAAGACAAGAGGAAATGGCGAGGGCTCCATCCACCCAGGCCAGGGAGCAGTGAAGGCTGAGGCTGGCCTCCTCCCTCCACCTGGGTCCACACGCAGGAGGAGGGGGAGCTGCGAGGGGCCACCTTCAGGAGCGGGGGGCGGGGGAGGGGGCAGAGCACCTGGAAACAGTGCCCACCCAGCACCAAACCCAGTCTTCCTGCCTTGGCTGAGGTGCCTGCCAGGCCGGCGGGCCACCCCAGGCCAGAAGCTGTCTGGTCCTCTCCTGGGCTGCCCTGCCCCCACTAGAAGACGAGGAGAGAGTCCCGGCTGCTAGGCCCACACCCCTGTCCTTGGACTCTGGGAGCCAGCACACTGTGTCCAGCTCTGCCTGGCTGAGCAAGATGCTGTCTCTTACAACCACAGAGGCCCTGGTGGCCCTGGGCAGGGGGAGAGGAAGGACAAGGAGGGTACCTGCTGCGGTCTGCAAGCTGGGCTCCCCCGGGCACAGGCTGTGAGCGAGGCAGGAGGCCACGCCAGGGCTCTGCCTTTCCAGTGAGGAGGCCTGTGGAGAAACAGAAGCAAGGTTGGCTCGGCTGGTCTGGAACCCACTGGCAGATGTCTCTGCAGGACGCCGGGGAGCAGGTACAGCTCAGGGCCCAACTCCCCAGGCGACCTCAGGAAGTGGCCTCAGCTGGGAGAGTCTCCCTTGGCTTCTATGCAGAGAGTGACAAACACATTCCAAAAATCATACAAAACGTCAAGGGACCCAGATAAGCCAAAACAATCCTGAAATAGAACAGTTCCTGATTTCAAAATTACTACAAAGCTACAGTAGTCAGAACAGCGTGGCACTGTCATAAAGCTACACACATAAGCCAAGGGGACACACTTGAGAATCCAGAAATAAACCCACAGTCTTACTGCCGACTGAATCTCAACAAAGATGACAAAACAGCTCAGTGGGGGCACGAACAGTCTCTCCAATAAATGGTGCTGGGACAACAGGAAGTCCACATGCAAAAGAATGAAGCCAAAGTGCCTACTCACACCACACAGAGATGAGCTCAAAACGGACCCAAGACCTTCAATATGAGACCTAAAACCTAGAACTCTTAGAAGAAAACACACGAATAAATCTTCTGTTACCCTGGACACACACACGGTTTCTTAGATAGGACACCAAAAGCATAAGCAACAAGAGGAAAAATACACAAATAAAAACGTTTCTGCCTGAAAGGACGTCATCAAGGAAGTGAGAACACAACCTACAGAGGGAGACGAGGTAGGTCTGCAGATCACGAGAAGGAACCTGCATCTGGAATACACGAGGAACTCTGAAGAGTTTACCTGTCATGAAAAGGTAACTCAATTTAAAAATGGGCAAAGGGGCTAAACAAATATTTCTCCAAAGAGATACGCAGGTGGCCAATAAGCACATGAGAAAACGCTCATCGGAAGACACAAATCAAAGGAGGGAATGCAACGCTAAGCAGGAGGTCTGAGAGGCAGTCATCGGTCCTGCAGAAGGTAAAAGCAGGGTAAGGACGCCCCAGCAAGTCCACCGTTAGGCAGACACTGAAGGGGTCAGAGTCTGTCGTCCCAACATACGCCACGCGGCATTAGGGTTATTCTGAGATGAAGCCAACTGAGCAAAAACAGACAGAGGATGACCTCTGCGTTGCCCTGGACTGCTTCACAGTAGACATAAGTCCCACGTGGGTGCTTCCCTTCCTGCCCCCAAACCAGGCAGGGAGCAGCTTAGCACGGAGCTCGTGTGTACAAACACACCTTACTAACTAGCCAGGCCTTCCCCTAGCTCCCCGCGCAGCCACGTTCCCACAACCTGGTGCCCAGACAGACCCCAAGTCCTTCTGTGTCGTAACACTCGGTCCACGTGGGCCACTATTCTGTTGACATGCCCACAGGAGCCCAAGCCCTGACCACCCCCTGGGTTACTCATGTGACTTCTCCTGCGGGATGTGTGCTGCGTGGCTTAATAAACTGCTTACTTCTCTCTCAATAATCTGTCTTTTGTCAGTCTAAATCACAGGGCCCCACCTGAAAACCGAGGAGGAGAAGGGAAAGAGATGCCCAAGGGAGAAGAAACACACATCTACACTAAAGCTCACACGTGAACGTTCATGGTGGGACCTTCACGAGAGCCAAAGGTGAGAAGAACACAAATGTCCATCAGCTGATGAAGACAAACCAAAGCAGAACACAGGAGCGTCCCGTGGCCTCGAGCAGGAGCGAGGCGCCCACACGCGCTGCCCCGGGGACGGACCCCGAGCCCACGACGCTCAGGGAGGGAACCAGACACGGAAGGCCACACAGGGTGTGAGTCCACGTGGGTGACACGTCCGGAACAGACTCATCCACGGACGGGAAGGGGGCTCATGGGGGCCGGGAGCTGGGGTGGGATGGAGAGTGACCGCTGATGGGGTAGTATTTCCTTTTGGGGCAATGGAATGTTCTAAAGTTGACCACGGATGGTTGTACAGCTCTGAATGTACTGAAAACCACTGAACTCTGCACGTGAAAATGAACTGTATGAATAAATCTCAGCAAAGCTGTCTGCACACACAGAGAAAAGATCTGAATATATAATACAATTAAGTTTAGGGTTTAGAAAAAGTTTTTTAAGAATTTCCTCACTGGGTCCTCAAGAAAACCTCAAGAGGGTGTGTAATCCTCCTACTAACAAGGGAGCTAAGCTCAGAGAGATCAAGTCACTTACCCCAACTCACACAGCATGTAAGCAGTGCAACTACAAACTCCCACTCAGGCGCTGTGACAAAGACCCTTTACAGACCCTTCACTGTACTTGGCAGCACATAAATGAAAGTTCAGCAAAGCCCCGAGAAAGAGCTGGGACACGAAGTGGACGTGGGTGTGGTTGTGTGTGCATGCCTGTGCGCGTGTGCAGCCTCTGCCAACAGCACGGACAGTTCTGAGCTCTGAGCAGGCCGTGTCCTAGGAAGCGTAGCCCCAGGGTGGCAGAGGCAGTCCGTGGGGAGGACCTGGGACCTGGCAGCAGTGGCTGGAAGCAGGCAGGGAGCAGAGAGCACAGGGGCCTGCCACCGGCGGCCTCACCTTCCAGGGAACAGCCATTAGCCCACACGGTGTGCACCCGTGGGGCCAGCACCCGAAGTGTCCTCTGACATCACCTGAGCCCTCTCTAGGACCCTCCAGACTGCTGATACACCAGCCTCCCTGGGCTCCCTTTCCCATCTCAGCCAGGGCAGGCTTTCTGTCTCTTGCTACCATAGCTCTAACAGGGGAAACGGAGTGAGGGCAGAGTTTGGACGGCCCATTTTCCAGGGAGAGTTAACTCTACTCCCATGTAGCACCCACCTGCAGCAGGGCCTCAGGTGTGGCGGTCTGAGGTCCCCGGCAGGGTCTGAGGAGGACTTGGCCCTTATCTGACATGGACGTTCAGGCAAAGGAGCAAAGAGGAACAGCTGGGAGGGACAGAAAGGGCAGCAACAGGGAAGCTCCATCCCCTAGGGCAGGGGGCGGGGGCCAGGGGTGAGGGGGTGCTGCTCACAGCATCCAGTCGCCTCAGATCCCCAAGTTCATTCCCAGATGACTCCAGGTTCCTCGAAACTCACCAAGGAACTCCCCTGCCCCAACATCTGACCTCTAGACGCAAGCCCACCCTCGACAGTGGGATTCCCAGGCGCTCTACTTCCTTTGTTCGGAACACTCTGGATGTTACCATCAGAGTCAAAGCCGTCCGTTTTGCAGAGGTGGAAGAAAAACAATTGGGAGGGGGCTTAAAGGCATTAGGAGAAAAGGACCAGTAGAGACGTGGTCCCAGAGGAGTGGGGAACCCAGGTCTTGGCAAGGACAAGGCGAGCTCGTCAGTCCTGTCTCAGGTGGACCCTGATGGCTCGAATGCGGAGGCCAGTCACTAGGAGACTGGAATGCAGGGCCCTTTTCCCCGGGCAGGTTCCTCCCACTGCCCTTCCCACCATAACCCACAGCGACGCCGTGGCAGATTCCACGTCCCAAACTGGTGGCACCCACGTGCTCTTCTCCCACTGTGACGCTGGCGTGCCTCCCCCTTCCAGAAGTGGGGTTCTGAGAGGGCCTGGGACTCCGGGCAGGGGGCTCCATGTGACTTAAAATGCAGCTCAGTCTCCATCGGGTATCTTCTGGGACAGTCAACAGCCACCACGCTGTGAGGAAGCCCAAGCCACACAAAGAGGCCTGGGGAGGTGTCCCAGCCAGCAGCCAGCAGCACCCCATGTGAGCAGGGAAGCTTCCTCCCCTGGGGTCAGCTCCAGCCCCAGCCACCAGCCGACAGCAACGGCATGAGGACCCGGAGTGAAACCTGCCCGGCTGAGCCCAGCGAACCCTCCATACCACAAAAGGTAATAATAAAACAATTGTTGTTTTTACACCATGAATTTGAAAGCAATTCCTTACACAATGACAGCAGGAAGAGCTACACCTGGCTGCCCCCCCCCACCCCAGCCACAGAACACTTACACTGGGCCAGGTGAGGAGGCGGCCCTGGGTGCACTGCAGTCAATGGGGAAACAGGTTCTGCCCGTCTCCACCCACGCGAGTTACCTGTCTCACCAGGACACGGAGAACAAACAAGTGGGAGCGGGTATACACAGTACTGAGGGAAGAAGGCGGAGTCCCTCCGAGGAAGAAATGGAAGGGAGCCGGAGAGCAGGAGTGGGGGCAGGGGGAGATCTGCGGGGACCACATCACTGAGCAGAGGGTCATGGGGAGGAGATGCATTTTACCCCGAGGACAAAGGAAAGCTCTGGAGGGTTTTAATACAAGACAAAGACAGTGTACTTGGGTCTTTCAAACACTCATCTGGTATCCTGAGGCAGGCAGGACGAAGCTCTCCCATCTTCCCTCGTGGCGCTGTCGGCTACTCCAGCAACGACTGAACTCAGGCAGCTAACGCAGATCAGGCACTTACTGGTAGCTTACAAACTGCCGTCTTTATTGGTTAGAGACCGCTCATTACCAGTAACTTCATAAGGGTCAGCTTCCCCGTGCAAACCACGGGGCCAAGATCTCGGGAGACCTCGACTCCAGGGTCTTCCCATTTCAGAGATGAGAGAACAAAGCTGTGAACATTCAGTCACCTACCCAAGTTCACAGAGAGTGGGAGGCTCCAGCTCTGCAACAGGTGCCCTGGGCAGAGGCTGGCCGTGGCTCATCACTTCCGACATCTCTACACTTGCTGGTCCTTTACTGACCAGTCTCTCAGGCCCTTTAGGACAGGTACTGGGGGGTCTGTGCGCACAGTCAGACCCTCGGGGCCTCACACAGAGCCAGGCACACAGGGGAGCTCACACACAGACCTTCTCCTGTGAAACCGCCGCAAATTCACTCAACGGGGCAGCACCGCACTCGGTCAACAGGTAGGACAGGGACACGCTGGGCAGCTGGCTGCTGTGAGGGTTCCAGGGGCTCTGCACCAGGCGAGAGGCAAAGTCAGAGCCAAACCCCGCAGCTCTGCCAGGCCAAGTGTGCTGCCCACACTCCACCCGCATCATTAACCAGGAGCACACCAACACACTACCACCACACCCCTACCTGGCTTCGGCCTCTGATCCCCTAGGCCAGCCACTGCCCCCATGCGGCTTCAGTTCCCCTAAACGCCCCCTAAGGAAGGAGAACTAAGGACCCTTTGGGTCCAGCCACCCAGCACAACTGGATGCTGAGGTCTGGCCTTGCACCCAGACACCCACACCCTCTTTGGCACAAATGCAGGGCCTGTTGCTGCCCCTCAGAAGGTCACTTGTGGGAGAGAATGGCCATTCCCACCTTGCACAACACCTACCCCTGCCGTGCTAAAACAGAACAGCCCACTCAGCCCCACAACCATGCCGAATACCCCAAGCACGTGCTATGCCTGGCTGGATGGGTACCTTCTCCTGTCCGGGTCTCAGGGGCCCCACCCATTTCATGAGGATCACTTGCTGAGTCTGTGGACCTGTGCGGTGTGGGCCCTAACTTCTGCGTGCCCAGACTGAAAAGTCATGTACCGAGAGTCACATTTACTGAGCCCTGGCAGGTGCACTATCTCATTTAATCCTCAGCAGGGCCCTAAAAGGTGAGAGCAGTCCGCCCTGCCTTAGCCAACATTTCAAAGTAAAAAAAAAAAAAAAAAAAAGCCCACCCCAAAATGAAAGTTTTCCGTTCCTGGTTTGACGTGACGTGAAGCTATTTGTTGACTGTGTTTGCCCAGACGGTCCTAGGCGAGTCTGATCAAGCGTCACAGTTCCAAACCCCACATATCCTCAAATCAGAAAATCTCTGCATCCCAAAGGACATCTAGCCGCAAGGATTTCGGGTAAGGGGTCTCAGGCCTGTTTCATGGACCAAGAGGGTAGGCTCTGAGAAGTAAGGCTGGTCGGCCCGCACCGAGGAAGCCCCGATGCCCTAGGCCCCCATCGCACCCCCCGCCCCTTGCCGGGCGTGCTCAGGGCGGGCCCGGGGTCGGAGTTCGAGTCCCGCCCGGGGTCTGGACGGAGCGACTCTGCGGTGCCCCGCACACTAAAGGCTCGCGAGCGGGCTGCCGTGCGGGTCCCACCCGGGGTCCCGACGGGTGAGCGCGGCGCGCCACCACCGCGCGCCCAGAAAGCGCACTCCGCAAAGTTGACAAGCGCGGGGAGGGCAAGGCTGCGCGCCGCCGGGAGCGGGGGTCCAGGGCCGAGGACCGCGGGACCCGGGCTGAGGGTCGAGGGCCCGGGAAGCCGCGCCGGCTAGCGGGGCGCGCGCCCCCACCCCGCGTCCGCCCTCTCCCCGCAGGCCCGCCCCGCCCCTCCCCACCCCGCACGCCCGCCCCCCGCCCGCACATGCGCACTGTACCCCGCGATGTGGCAACCGGCGGGGGGGGGGTGGCCGGGGGCGGCCGCCGACGGAGCTCCGCGCCCCACGGGCCCCGACGGGCGCGGCGCCCCGAGCCCGGCCTCCGCGCCCCGGGGCGGGGGTCTCCGCGCCTGGAGCCCAGACACGGCCGGGCCCTGCGGCCGTGGCCGCGGGCGCGCGGGGGCGGGGGGCCGGCTCCCCCGGCCCGCTCACTCACCTCCGCCATGGCCGTGTGTGCGCGGGAGGCGGTGGCCGCGCCGGGATCCCCGGATGCGGGGCCACGCGCTCATTGGCTGCCGCTCCCGGGAAGGCGGGGGCGCCGGGCGGGGCCGGGGCGGGGCCGGGGCGGGGCGCGGGCGGGCGCGTAGTAGGTGCGCGGGGCTGGCTGTGCGGGGCGCGCGGAGCGGGCACGCGGATGGGGATGTGCGGGGCCGCAGCCGGACGCTGGCCTGGGCCGGGCCCGAGGGGCGGGTGCGGCGGGTGAAGACGCCGGTCCCTGACAGCCACACCTGCGCGGGGAGCCCTGTCCCATTTCCTCCTTCCGATATCCTGGCTGAGTACGACCAGTGCCCCGAGTTGGGGACGCGGCAACGGGCGGCCCGTGCGCAACTGCTGCAGCCAGGATGGAAGGCTGGGCAGCGTGCTTCTGGAACTTTCTGCACTTTTGCCCCAGCGAGGACCCATCTCTTGTGCCGCAGAGTCGACTGAGGCTGGCGAAAATGTGGCTGCCCCGTGCTCGGAGCCAGTCCCGCAGCAGGAGAGGATCCGAACCCGGGACTCTTTGGCTCTGAAGTCTCTTTTTTTTAGTTTGTCGACTAAATGTCTGTGGGCAGTGTGCACGTTCCGAACCTGTGCTAGGCACTGGGGGAGACTTTGAACGTAACACCCCTAACATTTTAAATTTCATTTAAACATTCGCCGCATTTTAGATTTCAGACTGACAAGGCCTGTGAGCATCAGGGCAGAAGGTGTAGCAAGAGAGGAAGCACGGAAGTCAGTGGGGAGGTCATCAGCCATCAGAGAGATCAGCTGATGATGAGGGTGGAGGGGTGGGGACAGAGGTGGACAGTTTGGGAAGGTAGACCCCCAGAAGACCCCCAATGCAGTGAAGGTGGACAGAGTGTGAGGACAGCTCCCAAATTTCTGGCTGGCACAAATGAGTAGATGGTGTTCCTACCAAGACTGGGGAGGTGGAGAACTCAAGAGCTGTCAGCCAGTGGAGTACTGAAAGTTGAGATCCATCAGGCCTGATGCTGGATATAAAAGCATTATCCCAGCCCTCTGAGAATCCACCTGTCAGGAGAGAGAACCACTCTTGAAAGGTCTGCCCTGCCCTTGACAGTTGCATGAGTCAGTGGGTTCCCTGCTCCTTGTGCTGGAGGTTCAGGCCATTGTGACTGAGAGTCCTCACTGATCCATAGAGCAGTTAGTCATTCATCTAGTCACTCATTGAGTCAATCAGTGAACTAAGCACCTGTCCCCTTCAGCCCTCAACTAGGTGCTGGGCTTTGCAGGGGTCCAGTGAGGCAGGGAGATGACCAATAGATAAAATGAGAGGGGGTGTCTGTGTTATAACATGTGGCAGAAACCCAGGAAAAGGGCTGGAGTCAGCCTGGGATAACCAGATAAAACTTCTCGGAGAGGGCTTTGACAAGAATCATCAGAGAGATGCGAAGGGGGAGGGGAGGGACCCAGATGAAGAGAAGGGCCTTTTCAAGGTTTGAAAGTCTCTCTCCACAGACTGATTATTAGTTACAGTGTAGGAATAAGGTAACATTGACCCAGTGATAAAAAATGAACATCGTAGTGAGGGGCAGAGGGACACCATGTACCTCCCAACCCTGAGAAGGACGCCACATCACTTAATCTGGCCAGGAATGCATAACCTGTATCTATATTTGAGAAAACTGCAGACAAACCCCAAATGAGGAACAAAGAAGGACTGTATTCTTTAGAAATGTTAATGCCATTAAAAACCAGCCTTTCCCCCAAGACAACTAGCAGTGCAGAGGGAAAGTCTATAAAGAGCATTATTGGGCCAATTGACAAAACTGGAATTCAGATATGGATTAGATAAATCTATTAAATTATGTGTCAAGTTTACTGAAATTGATAACGGGTCTGTGGTTCTGTAAAAAATTTACAGTGACATATTTAGGGTTAATATAGAGTGAATGTTTGTGTCCCTCCCACATTCATATATTGAAATCTTGTCCCCAGTATGATGGTATTTGATGGTGGGGTCTTTAGGGGGTCACGAGGGTAGAACCCACATGAATGGGATGAGCGACCTCATAACAGAGACCCCAGAGAGCACACTCGCCCCTCTGGCCTGTGAGCGTGCAGGGGAAAGACAGCCTATGCACCAGGAAGCAGGTCCTCACTCACCAGACACCAAACCTGCTGACAGTTTGATCTTGGACTTCCCAGTCTCTAGAACCGTGAAAAAGACATTTCTGTGGTTTATAAACCACCTGGCGTATGGCATTTTCGATAGAGCAGCCCAAAGGGACTAAGACACGGGTGAGGTGCCATGATGCATGCAACTTCGGTGGTTCAGAAAAGTGTAATTTGTATCTTTAAAACATGCACGGGGGTGCGGGGAGAGCGAATGATAAAGCAAATGGGGCAAAATGGTAGAAGCTGAATCTGGGAAAGGGTATATGGAGATTTCTTTCTCCTATAAACCTGAATGGTTTTCAAAATAAAAAAGTAAAAGAAATAAAGCTAAGAACGTAAAAAGCCGTGTCCTTAGCCAAGTCTTAAAGGAGGGAAAAGAGAGGCCAGGAGGGCACCCGGGCAGTGGGGACAGCAAAGGCAGACGCCCGGAAGCCTGAGTGGGTGTGGGCGCCTGTGCGCATGCAGCCAGCCTCTCTTGGATCTCATCCGCCCAAGCTTGACAGGGAGGTTGCAGTACCCGTGGCCTGACAGGGGCTAGTGACAAAGCTCTCGGGCCCCTCAGGGACTGGGGCCTGGGCCACGCCATCACCAGCTCAGCCTCTGAGACCAGCGAGAGAGCAATGGAGAGTGTGTGCTGGAGATGGGGGGGTGACAAGTTTCAGCCACAGCTCAAGTGGTTCTGGAGGGTGTCGCTCACCCCACTCATCTTTTTCTTGCAAGTTTTCCCTCAGAAAAAGAGGCCTGACGATCCTGGGTGAAATGTTTCCAGAATACTACATGGAGCTGAGGAGTTCCGGGTGAACTGTGGTGGATACACCATCCGAGCTCCCCAAAAATATGGAAGCAGCATTTCTTCCGGCTGCTAGGGGTGATGGTGGCTGATGGCTCTAAGCTGAGTGTTTCCCAGGCCCTGCCTTTGGCCAGAGGGAGTCCCTCCTCCTTCCCGGAGGCTGCCCACACCCAGGCACTTGTCCATGCAGATGCATAAGGCCAGCACCTGTGGCCAACAGGGAACAACTCCAAAGCTCCAGAGGCCCCTGTAGGGTCAGCTGAGACTGTCATCACTGAAGCCCACTGTCCCTCTGTCCAGCACTTCTTCCTTCACTGCCTGGCAAGTACAGGCCCCAGACACTCTCCTGTCCCTAATCTCAGGCTCAAAATCTGCTTCCTGAGAGCATAACCTCTGACACAAGGCGGGTCGTAGTTTGAAAGATTTAAAGAACAAACAAAAGAAGTCAGGCAATTTTAAAGTGCAGCATAAAGATGACGGAGAAGTAAGCCCGAATGTTGTCCTAAGATGTAAACAGGCCAAACTCAGAGGACTCTCATGACAGATGACAGGGCGAATCCCACCCACATGCCGTAAAGTAGGGACAAGCTGAACGACGTCAAAGACAATCGGTCACATGGCACTGTCTTCCACCAGTATACACTTTCCCAGTTTACCAGTGTTCTAGAAAATTCCAAACTGTGGGGACAGAGAACAGAGGAGTGGGGACAGGGGAACTGGGTGACCGCAGAGCAGCACCGGGGAATTTGGGGGGCAGATGAAACTGTTGTCTCTCTCAACTGTGGGCTGTGCTGTGTGCCCGTGTCGATGCTCATGAAACCATACCTGAAAAAGTAGAAATCCTGGGGCACCTGGGTGGCTCAGTCGTTAAGCGTCTGACTTCGGCTCAGGTCATGATCCCGGGGTCCTGGGATCGAGCCCCGCGTTGGGCTCCCTGCTCCGCGGGAAGCCTGCTTCTTCCTCTCCCACTCCTCCTGCTTGTGTTCCCTCTCTCGCTGTCTCTCTCTCTGTCAAACAAATAAATAAATACCTTTTAAAAAATTTAAAAAAAAAAGAAAAAAAAGAAAATGTAGAAATCCTGCTGTCTGTACTTTCTATCTCAATAAAGCTGACCGCAAACCACGGTTGTGATAGGCAACACACGTGGTTCTTCATTAATGCTTTAAATCTCAAGGTAAGAATTTAAACAAAAGTTAGTTAAATTTTATTTTGTGAAGACATCTTAGTGTGAAGCTCGTGCGTTAGTAAGAACACTGAAATACGAGGCGGTCTTTGACAAGAGATCGTGCACGTCATTTTGGATATTCAATTGATTTAAAGCTTTTGAGGTGCCTGGCTGGCTCAGTCGGAAGAGCGTGCGACTCTTGATCTTGGGTTGTGAGGTCCAGCCCCATTCTGAGTGTGGCGATGACTTAAAAATGAATCTTCAAAAAAAAAAACAAAAAACTTCTGGAGCTCTTGTTTTGTCTTGTTTTCAAGGTTCCTAAGGTTGACAGTCCCACCGTCCGCGTTGCCTGTTGGGCAGACAGGACACACTGCAAGCTTGGACAGCTTCCTCCTCTGCCTAGTGTGAGGAGTCAGTCTTTAGGATCGCTCATCTGTACTAGCCTCCTCTTGCTGCTATAACATATTACCACAAAATCGGTCAATAAAAACCACACACACTTGGTACACTTGGTATTCCCTGGGCAGGAACCAAGGCGCTCCTTCCAGAGCAGCATCCCTCCCCTGAAGCCAAAGCATGACAGCTGGCTTTGGTGTCATTCCCTCTCTTATACCGACATGTGATTGTATTCTACACACCCAGGTATTCCAGGATAATCCCCTTATCTCAAAGTCTTTCATCTCATTCACAAAGTCCCTTCTGCCATATAAAATAACATAGTCACCAATTTCAAGATGTCTTTGTGGCATTAGTCAGCTGACCACATACTCCAATCTGCTGGATTCGAGATAGGACCTCACAACAACAATAGGGGTTTGAGTCCTGGTTGGTCACTTCTGTTCCTCCTCACAAATGCCTCCATCCACTCATT